TATCAAGAGTATTGAGATGTGAGAACATTTCCACATCAACCGTTATTCGATCCCCCTTCCTCTCCCTCTAGATAACTCTTAACATCATCTGCGCGCCAGGTGCTGGTTGAAATGCAGACAAGCAAACCTCGTCGATTACCTCACAAAACAAGTCTACTCTCTTATTCGAAACTGCTTGTGTGCATCAAACTGTTTCAACCTCAAGCACATAGGAGCCCGAAACATGTTCTTATTTATTTCCCTTGCTGTTGGCCAGGTGGATCTTACCTTTCACTTATATAAACTGCCAAAATGCAAGTGACGCGTGTACCTTCTTACCCGGCGAATGAAATATAGATCTCCAACAAACCCGTCTAAACAGTTGTCATTTGAGACCTTAGCCCCATAAATTCTGTATTTTCACCCGTGCCAATCATTTTGACTAGCTGTCATTTGGAAAAACCCATGCCGTGGTGAAAATACCTGAATATCATTGCACGTGTAGTAAATTCGGTATCTGTCTACTGGAACAGTGCACTTGAGTTGATAAAAGATAGATTATGTCGCTAAGAGAAGCATTCCAACGATCGTAATGGTGCTTTGAATACTCTTAAGGATAGTACAAAATACTGAAACAATGCAAGGATCACTTCTGGAATATCAGTTGTGCGCACATCCACATTCTTTGTTATGTTGTTAGCAATCCATTCACCTACAGTTTAGAAAATAATGGTTTTGGCTTGATCCACACACGCACTTCGTACTATTTACTTCTTCCACCCATTAAATGCGGTTATCAACCCTTGCTCACAGTTTTTGGACTGTTTGGTGAAGAAAGCCTTAAGATTTTTTACTCCCAGGGGCGAGGGGGATCATAATCATCAGTTTCTTTATTTTAATCGACCGAATAACTCCTTGTTCACTTATCTTGTCTGGTTGTAAGTGTACGCTATTTCCAAGTCACCTCGGTTTCGGTTTCCATTGCAACACTTGTAAGTGGTTTTACGCTGAGAGAATAGCCAGGACTGATGTCTTTGGTCGGCAAATCGATCAGAACATTTCAGTCCTGTCCTACTGCAGTAGTTTCTCGCGCGAATGGGTAAACTATACTGTTTACATATAGCAATTATACATGCATCGGGTTTCGGTGGACCAGACTGCAAATGCCACTCAGACGAACCGTACAACCTCAAAAGTTTGCGCGTTGAATTCACTGGCCAAAACGATTCACGTAGAGTGCAGCGTGAAGAATCCAGAAGACGGTTTGTTTTTCAGCAAACGGATTTATTCTACAAAACGGTGTTAAAATACAGATTACAAACGTGTAAACTGTGCAAACCATGGCACTATCCGGTCCAACAAACACGGACTGTAGGAAGCACATAGGCTGCGAGTAAGCAAGCCAGCAGCGCGGTGATAATCAAACGGATAGACAAACAGGAACATACATCTGTGATATTCCACACTGGTAAGTGACCTCGGGGATCAAATCGAATTGTGGTGGGTGTGAACGTAAGTCATTAGGGCACACAATAACATTGCGACATTGCGAGTGAGCTTGTGTTTTTGTTAGCAGACACTTACCAGGTTCAGTCAATCGTGGACATGGATTGATGAGTTAAATGAGAACTACAACACAGAGGGCGTAGTGGAGCGAACATGCGTCTGCGCATGTCAACAGCGTGGAAAACAGTCAGACGCGGATCAATGGAAGGATGAAATCCACAACATACGGGTAATGTACCAAGCTGAACAACAGAACAATGGCGGGGCAGTTTGTGTAAAGGGTGTTTCCAGTGAACGACGGATGAGTCAAGCTGAGGCCGAATGGGTTCAATAGCGCTTCTTATTGATTTTCATTCTAGAGCTTGTCTTCGGAGTAGGGCAATCGTCCGGACGAAACTTGTCAGGACTTACTTTTGGAATTATCTTATTATCCGGGGACACACGGTACTTGCACTTGACTCTGAGGGGCCGTGTTTCTGAGTCGGAATTATTCAATCGTCCACATACAAGAAATTAATAAAAGACCATATGTGCATTCCGTCAAAATCAAGAGGGCCTTGGAAAAAAATAATCCGAGCAGAACAATTTTTCTGACATTTATATGGTCTATGTTCTTTACCACGAGTGTGTATGATGCTTTCCATTGACTAACCCGGTTCACTGAGTAAATAACTTCAAGTGGCAGAAATATGCTACATATTTCGACAAGCCCTGCAGAGTACACCAAATTGATGCGCCTTTATATACATTCGATTAACCCTCCGTATTTTGGGAGAGAGGATATATTTTTGATGGTATTTTCCAAAAATACTGACTTGCTATTTACTTCTCCACCCCAATAGGCTGGAGCTCGACTGAACGCTCAGAATCAAATTGGTCTGACACCGATGATGGAAGCAGTGTCGTACAATCAACGGGAAGCAGTGAGCCTTCTGGTCAAACAACGAGATCTGGATCTGTACAAGCGAGATTTCTGCACCGGGGACACAGCTCTGCACATAGCGGTGAAAAAGAACTATATTCACATGGTGGAAATTCTACTTCAAGCAGGTGAGTGTTTTGCGTTTATGATACCATCATGCTACCATGATAGGTGTTATCGATTCCCGGTTGATTCACCGGTGCTGGAAAGAATTGTGCATCACTTTATGTTAGCCTGGGAGCTCTTGCATTAGGAGGGGTGGGTTTCATGGTCGTCTGTGATAATGGCTACACACGCACGGCAATCCGGGGCTTCGTCGATTCATACAGCAATCCGGTCTCGATATCCGTCTCCAATACAATGTGAGTCCACAGACTTGAACACTCTGTCAGCCTGAACTTTGGGAATTCTTATTTTAAACTTACCACCTTGGAGAAACTTCCACGTCAGGCATGGTGTTGAGCAACACCTAGTGCTGTGCGGTCACATAGGTGTCTTCTGAGGCCATGACTACACCAAAGAAAGTCAATAGATTTCTGGTTTATTTTGAACTTACGCACCAAAAGACTACAAGTCGTAAGAAAATGAATCAGAACTGTTGTGTGATAAACTGTTTACCAAGTACGGAACTATGTCAACACCTAAGTCAAGGTATCATGTAACATATTTACGTAAATCTCTTTGGAATACCCGCATCCAGTGTTTCAAAACGGCGTAAAAAATGCTTTTAGTGGAAGGATTACTTGGTATGAATTCGATGTTCATCGGTGCCATTAAAGGTTATGCATCTTGTGTTTTTAATCCAGAGTTACATAATTCATCGAATTTTACGCAAAATATCTCTCCAGATGTGCCATGCCTGGTATGAAACCATACTTGTTTGTTCACTCACATTCGAAATCTAAGCATCATAAAATCGATCAATCAATCTTTCCGGGAAATTTGTGCTAGTGATAGTTTAGGATAGCGGATGGAGTATTCTTATCGTGTTGGAGGATCACTCACTTATACACCTTATACGAATTACAGCGATCAGTTAGGACTAAAGCTAAATATGTTCAGCTATAACACTGGAGACCGAATCAAAAACGTCAAACTGACAGGGGAAACAAGTCAGTTTCAATAGTGCCCGATGATAACCGGCTCGCGTGAGGGAAATAATAGAACGATTTTCATGTAACGCTTCGGTCATAACCAACTAAAATATCTTGGTAGTGTGAGATGAAAAGAGAAACTCTTACGCAGATTGTTAGAGGTAGCGATCTGTCTATCCAAATGATTGGAAACGAGGGCAGATCGAGTGGACTCTGACAGTCCAAACCATAACTTCCTACACGTGGTATGTCAACCGGACAAGCTGGAGACAAACAATAACCTGGGGTATAACGATTAGTATGCGAAGTGCCACATAGCGAGGAGAAAAAAGCTAGATACAAGAAATGGTAGCTCAAATTTAAGAATAAACTGTGCAAGCTTTCTTAATCAGCTTGTGTAGGAATAGGTTTTTTTCCTACTGTCAGACCTCCTATGCTATGCGGATGCAGAAAAATCTAAGACAAGCCAGTTGTATTTCATTTGTTATCCTAAGAATGTTATATGTATAAACAGCCAATTATCAATGACTAAACTTGTGAGTAGATTGGTTGAATTTTCTCATGTCATTTGATTGTGAACGGTGGGGCTCCAACCTATGGTCTTCTGGTAGATTTACGAGACCTCGATCAACTAATAATCTTGACACAATTCTTGTATTGTTTGTCCAATTGTACCACCAAACTCATATAAGTCAAGGTAGACAGTGGGATCAAAGTCCGCATAAGTTGCCACTATCTACGTGTGACGCGCACGCATCTGAATCATACAGTAGGACTAAACAGTCTGCTACAGATTTCCCTGGGGCCTTCATTGGCCGATAGACGTCGTAGCGGCAACACAGATTTATTGATTTTGAAAGTGCCAAACGGACTCCATTTATGCCTGCCAATGCTTTCTCCTCCGATTTAGCTATCTAAGTAGCAAAGTTCCGTAAGTCTTCGCTTAACGAAGTATGTTAAACCGTTTATATCAAAGAAAAGGCGTTTTGAAGTGGTCTATCCCTCTCGTTTTGGGCACCTAGCCACATAACTAAAAATGGTCTGGGTCAGAGGAAAGAAGTGCGCTTTTGCCAAGTGCACACTTTCGAGACACAGGCTGAAAATGATAGCGGTGTATGCGCAAAACAGGTAAAGTGAGCGAGTAAAAAGGAATCAGGGTACTTTATGCACATACTTAGTTATCATGATTTATTCCTATTTATCACCGCTGTTTAGTAAAATAAAACGCAATTTGGTGCTTTCCTCGAGACGGGAATCATCTAAACACCACAAATATCTTTTGGATGGAACAAGTGTCTCGGACGCGCTGTGTTTGAATCAACCGTACACGGAATTGTTTTGAAACGGAAAGGCAAAGCCCACGACTAGCACTATTCAAAGTACTATATTGTTGGTTAAACAAGCAAAAGCCTTCAAATCATTCAGCATCCTTTTAAGTAGTTCATGTTTCTGGGCTAAATCAGGTGATGTTTTTGGACTCTATATGATTTGACATCGGTATAGTAAACTTCTTATTGTGAAACATGAACTCGAATTCACCGTATGATTTCAACCTAGATAGCATCGTGTCGAACCCGAAAAACGTAGGAAAATCACATGAAATAGCGCTATAATTCAATCTACTTATGATGTTCACAAATTGTATATCATTTCACTCCAAAATGAGGGAGAATGCGTTAGAATATACAGTATATTTGTGGAATAAAGTAACATTTTTACCTGTGCTGTCACACCTTAGTTGATAGGACTTCATCGGTTACTTAGTCTCGGTAGCTATGCGCAGGCTATGGGCGGAGCAAAGCTAAGGGTAGCCGAAAGAAGTCCAGCAGAGCAGCAGTGTCTATCGGCAAATAGTGTAAGTCTTAGTCCTATAGGATCATACAGCAATAATTAAACAGGACAGTCGCAACAGTCCGTGACCGCAACGGTAAGACCAAGATCTACCCAGCGGACAGCTCAACGTAACAGTAGCGCAGCAGTGACATTCATATTGGGAGATGTTGTGATGCGATGTAGAAAAGGTTTACAATACGTTTTGGAATAAAACGATAGAGACGGAAAGAACAATAGATTTAGATTATGTGTAGTAAATTGTGCAAGTAAATTGGGGCGCGATACCAAAAGACAGTTTTAATTAGAAATTTACCTTTGGAAGAAAAACAGTGAGATACGAAATAAATGGACCCATGGTAATCATGTTAGGTGTGAGGGTATCGTGTGTGTCGGGATTAGAGGTCCGATCTCCAAAGGTGGCGTGTTTCTGCTCTTATAGCAAGCATTCAGAAAACTATTGTCACTGGGATGATATAATTCTACGATTCTACACGCATCATCATCACAAAGATAAAATTTCATCTAATGAGCTCTTGGAATTTTAGAGTGTCAAGCTTGGATTAGCTCATTCGATTGTTCAGAGGCACCAGGCACTCTTGATGGTTCTCGGTGTGGGTTCCACTCCTTGAGAGATCGTTAATTCCCCACTGTTTGTATGCATTTAAATGCGAGTACGCACTGCTGACGAGTCCCAAACAGGACGAAACAGCTGTCCAGTGCTCTTTGTTGGTTATCACAAACATTTCCATCGCATTTGAGCTCTTGGAATATATAAATTTCAAGGCCGCAGGCACCATGGGATGCCGGAAAAGCGGGAGTTTAACTATAGGGGAAATAAATATCTAATGCCACTCATAATTAGTCTAATGCGAATGGGGGAAGGGATATCTAATTAATTATAGTAATCAACAGTACCATTATTGATTCGATTTTTCGTTCTGTGATTCTCCCTTACAGGAAACTGGTACATCGAGTATAATTACAACAACTTGGGTGAATCGTTCGTGCATGATGTGGTCGTTTACAACCGATTGGAACTACTACGCCTGTTTCTTGCCTACAACTATGATTTTGATCGACCAGCCAAACGTCTGCCTCCATCTTTAATCGGTGGTGTGTTCACCAAGAGTATGTACAACAACATTCCGTCCACATCCACAGGAACACCAGGCTGTTCTTCTAACGACTCACCATGCACCCCTTCCACTTCCACATATACGGGAACTGTGTCATCTTATGGTAGTGGTCCAAACGCATTGATTTTTGAGAAATCGCCTTTCCAACTGGCTCTGGAACGAGGTCATTTAGACATGGCTCGTATATTGGCCGATGTAGGCTGTTTTCGAATTAAATTACCCCTTAGTTCCAGTTCCCACACACCCCATATGGCCACAAGTCCCACCAGTCTTTCGCCTACGCGAGCCGCGTCCCCATATGGTCTAACTCAGTCATCTAATTATCCACACTGGGCTGGTCTTACCGGAATCAATATGTCCAGTCCACTGGCTCGTCGTTATTCCGCCCTATTGGAAGTTAAGTCATTGAAAAAATGGTGTCGTCGAGTCATTCGTCAAACGCTGGGCTTTCGCCTGATTGAAGCTCTACCACAGTTACCTTTGCCAGTTCCGCTGAAAGATTTCCTGTTGCTTCGAGATCTGGATTGGTCAGTCTGTTTGAGCAGTTCACTGACCAACCAACGTTCAGTTACGAATAACGGTGATTTGGCCATCATCGTCCCTCCGCGTTGTTCCAGTTCCCTCACACCACTGTGAAAACCACTCGCCGAACAAGACCTCTTAGATTGATACTGTCTACCACATTGATTGTTTTGAGGAATCATTTGATAATGTATATCTCCTCAGATTAATCTGTTGGACGATAGCATCACATTCATACTGAGCGTTGCTCTCTCTCCCTCAGGAGATCAGGATTAAGCCCAATGGATTTCCTTTTAACTTATCCCGTGTCTATTGAGGTGTGTGTGAGATCTACTAGCGATTGATGGGCTTAGACAGCACCTCAGGATGAAATTGAAATCGGGCAGAATAACACACCCACATATACGCACACACTTGGGCATAAACCTTCGTCTTCATCTCGTATTACCACTATGCTAAATTGTGATTCATATCTTGGCTTGTGTGTTTTCACGCGTCCATCTTACTCTTTCCATCCCACCTCACTCGCATCACCTCCAATACCACTTCTTACCCTAGTATTCCCACATGAGAATTCGTTGGAAGAGAAACGCTTTTCCCAAGATTTCTTTCACCTTAGGTTCTCAATCAAGTGATCCAACATCAGGTACTCTCAATATTCCTATTATACTACTATCAATGCTGGTATCACTACCACAAGCACTACAACCACCACTGCTGCGACCACTACCAATAATACTGCTAGTACTACTACTACTACTTCTATTTGTGTGCGATTCGAATTTCAAACCTCCTTCATTGACTTGTTTCTGTGCATCTTTTGCGTCATACTGATTGGGTTCAGTAGTAAAATATCCGGGTTTACTGCAAAACACCGTTGTTTTGGTAACACTATTGGTGCGATTCACGTGTTACCATTGCAATCGGATCTAGGTGTCTGTTGTCCAGGAGGATTCCAAATTAAGGCCTGCCTCGTGATAGACACATTCCGGACTGAAGACTAACTGGAAAAGTAGCGTTTTGTGGTGTCTACTTTTCCAGATGCATCCACGACATAAACGGCCAGCGGGACTTCCACCACAGCCTTGCTCCGATTAGCTATAGGATGACAGCGGGGTGTTGCTTCCAAACACACTGGTTACCAGTGTGTCAACAAATTAATCTGTTCTACAATGCTGGTTGACGGAGGATAGGCAAGAGCCTGAAAGCGCTTTACGGCGTTGTTATGCTATATAAGGACAATGAAAACTCAAAGACAAAACGAGATGTTGCCAGTTGAAACCATGTATTCATGAATATTCAAAGTTCTCTAAACATTAATTACTCTAGAGTGAGCCTTTTATATACTGTGACTTGATTGCGGAAATCATAACGCCAGAACAGTGTATCAAACCTGATTCCTTGAAAAAGTCGAGCCTTTCGAGAACTCACAGTAATTTTATTGCAAGGATTTAATGACGAATTTAACTCGATTAGGTGATGAGGTTCATCGTGCACAGAATAAAGGAAACAGGGCATGAAAAACTCGGAAGAACTGAACAGATATTTTGTTCTTGATACGTTTCATCGCTCATGTTCATTAGGACAAAACCGCACCTTGGCGTTCTGTGACGCTTGCGTGCCTCCGGGACCCTATAGATTACCCAGGATGGCTTTTGCAGCCCCATATCAAATCAAAAGTCAATGAGCAAAGACCAGAAAAGCTCATTTTCACAAGAACAGCTCATTTAGCACGGGCTGACTTCCTTTGACTACCCTATATCGCCCATGCAGAGGTCCTTCCAACAACGGAAAATGCCGAAAAGTAGTTTACCGGTAGAAAACATCGCAAATAGGGTGCCTATAAAAAAACGAAAGTTTACAGAATAGAATTCTCTACCAAAATGTACAGTGTGCATGTATCTGCGTTAACTCACATGACTTAGGCGAGCGTTCAAATCGATTTTGTACAGC